GGGGGAGATGGTTGCCCGCCGTCAGTGTGCCCCTTTACAGGACTCCGGGCTCTATAATGGCGGCGTTATGACTGGTTGCTAACGGCCACCACAGCCCACCAGTAGAGCGCACTCACCCCGGAGGACGGATGGACAGTCCAGCCCAGCTCTGCTGTTGCCGTCGTGGAATCCATTAAGGTTTCTAAAAAGAGAAAAGAAAACCACAGTCAGTGAAGTAATCACACTATAGACACCCTGACCCACCACGTCCTACCCAACCACTGACCCACCAACACACCACGTCCTACCCAACCACTGACCCACCAACACACCACGTCCTACCCAACCGCTGACCCACCAACACACCACGTCCTACCCAACCGCTGACCCACCAACACACCACGTCCTACCCAACCGCTGACCCACCAACACACCGCGTCCTACCCAACCGCTGACCCACCAACACACCGCGTCCTACCCAACCGCTGACCCACCAACACACCGCGTCCTACCCAACCGCTGACCCACCACGTCCTACCCAACCCCTGACCCACCAACACACCACGTCCTACCCAACCCCTGACCCACCAACACACCACGTCCTACCCAACCCCTGACCCACCACGTCCTACCCAACCGCTGACCCACCAACACACCACGTCCTACCCAACCACTGACCCACCATGTCCTATGCAGGTACACGGGGGGCATCAACACCCAGTATTATGGAGGTACACGGGGGGGAGGGGGGGCAGCGCAGGCCTCATTATCTGAGAGACCTTCAAAAGGATTTCCAGAAAATAATTAATAATTGATGACAGAAGATCAATGTATGGACTGAAGACTCCGCCTATTAATAATGAATGGCGCCAAGCTGGTCACATGGGATTCTGGGAGGGCGGAGGGGCAGCTGATCCTAGGAGCTGACAATCTATAAAGATCGGATGTTTTATGGGTCATTGTGCAGAGAACAATCCGGAGACGTATATAAATTATTCATCAGAAACTGCTTCTCCGTCAGCAATGGCTCCTCCCCCTACTCTCCTCCTCATTAATATTCATGAGCCTGGGGGAGCGGTCATTCCAGCAGTACAGACACCCCCAGGGGGCAGCAGAGGGCTTCAGGGGGCATTTCTTCCTCATAGTAATGTTGATTGTAATGTTCAATAGAACAGATATAAGAAATGGCCGCGGTGAGCATTGCTCCGCCCACATGCCGGACGTAACCTGCTTCCACCTCCTCTGTACAAAACATACATTCTGGTTCCAACGGCTCGACCCCGTTAGCCAGGAGCGCGGGCCTCACCGGCCTCAATCCCGAATCGGCTATGAATGGGAGCCAGATCCCAACTCCCATTTATATAACCAGATAATGGAAACCATAAGAGATACGGGGGACTGGTAATAAATGTGCCCACTTCAAGGGGCAACAGTGTAACCCCCACACAGCTGACCACCATTTCCCCCCCAAAAACCGGCTCTGACCCGTCACACAACTGGCCACCATGACCTCCGCTAACCGGCTCTGACCCTTCACACAACCGGCCACCATGACCTCCACTAACCGGCTCTGACCCTTCACACAACTGGCCACCATGACCTCCACTAACCGGCTCTGACCCTTCACACAACTGACCACCACTAACCGGCCCTGACCCTTCACACAACCGGCCACCATGACCTCCACTAACCAGATCTGACCCTTCACACAACTGGCCACCATGACCTCCACTAACCGGCTGTGACCCTTCACACAACTGGCCACCATGAACTCCGCTAACCGGCTCTGACCCTTCACACATCCGGCCACCATGACCTCCACTAACCGGCTCTGACCCTTCACACAACTGGCCACCATGACCTCCACTAACCGGCTCTGACCCTTCACACAACTGGCCACCATGACCTCCACTAACCGGCTCTGACCCTTCACACAACTGGCCACCATGACCCCCGCAGCTTCCTGCTGTAGAATAATCCTGGCACCGGAGATCCCACCACACACCTGAGGTGCCATATTCCCGCTCGGCCGGCTCTCCCGTGACCCCCGGAAGGTCCCCAGCAGTAAATCGGTGTTCCTCCTCTGCCATTGATTGGAGATGGTGTGCTCCTTGGGAGTGTGTTCTAGGCAGTGCCGAGCATCACCGGACACAGGCTCTACTGAAGAGTATACGGTGTATACAGAGACTGGAAGGAGAATTGTCAGCTCTTTGTCCCCCTCGCAGGTGCGGGGGGG